TGGGTAATTTATGAAGAAAAGAGGTTTAATTGACTCAGAGTTCTGTAGACTGTACAGGAGGCATGGCTGTGGAGTCCTCAGAAAACTTGCAATCATGGCAGAAGGCGAAGGGGAAGCAGCTGTGTTTTCATGTGGCAGTAGGAGAGGGTGAACACACTTATAAATAACTAGATCTCCTGAGAAATCTATCACAAGACCAGCAACAGGGATAGCTGCCCCCATGATCCAGTCACCTTCCACTAGGCCCCTCTGCCAACACTGGGGATTATAATTCAACATGAGATCTTGGGTGGGGACACAGAGCCAAACCATATAATCTGGCAAATCAGATGTTGACCCACACAATTAGTACCAAATACTCAGAGATACCAGGAAATCTCTGGGTCCTTAAGGTTTTACTTAAAACTCTCTTTTAACTCTTTATCAGCCGGGCACAGTGGCTCACGCCTGTAATCCCAGCACTTCAGGAGGCCAAGGTGGGCAGATCATCTGAGATCAGGAGTTCGAGACCAGCCTGGTCAACATGGCAAAACCCAGTCTCTACTAAAAATACAAAAATTAGCTGGGTGTGGTGGTGCGTGCTTGTAATCCCAGCTACTTGGGAAACTGAGGCAGGAGAATTGCTTGAACCCGGGAGGCGGAGGTTGTAGTGAGCTGAGATCATGCCACTGCACTCCAGCCTGGATGACTGAGTGAGACTCTGTCTCAAAAACAAAAACAAAAAAACCTCTTTATCCTCATGGGTGCCAATGGTGGTAGTGCTAATCTTACGGCATGTAGGATTGTTGGGCTCAGATTCTTAAAGGCCTTTGAATAAATGAAGCCATTCTTAATCTCAGTGTTACACTAGTCTGACATTTTAACCATTAAGAATGATAGGAGGCTGGGTGCAGTGGCTCACGCTTGTAATCCCAGCACTTTGAGAGGTCAGAGCAGGCGGATCACTTGAGGTCAGGAGTTCGAGACCATCCTGGCCAACATGGTGAAAGCCTCTCTCCACTAAAATTGCAGAAATTAGCTGGCTGTGGTGACACCTGTAATTGCAGCTACTTGGGAGGCTGAGGCACGAGAATCGCTTGAACCTCGGAGGCGGAGGTTGCAGTGAGCCTAGATAGTGCCATTGCACTCCCGTCTGGGTGACAGAGGTAAACTCTGTCCAAAAAAAAAAAAAAAAAGATAGAAGATGTAGCCAAATTAATATCAAGAACCATTAGAAGGCTGGCCATGGTGGCTCACACCTGTAATCCCAGCACTTTGAGAGGCTGAGGCGGGTGGATTGCCTGGCCAACATGGCGAAATCCTGTCTCTACTTAAAATACAAAAATTAGCTGGTTGTGATGGCACACGCCTGAAATTCTAGCTACTCGGGAGGCTGAGGCAGGAGAATCGCTTGAACCTGGGAGGTGGAGGCTGCAGCGAGCCGAGATCATCGCACTCCAGCCTGGGTGACAGCGCAGACAAAGAAACAAACAAAAAAACCCATTAAAAATGTAAAGAAATTCACCACAGACATTGGGGAGACTCCTTTCTGTTACTCCACATTTTTATGTTCACTGTGTCCCATAACCACCAGCGAAGTTGTATGGCTGCGTTTCAGTCAGGTTTTGTATTTGTTGTGACTAGGTAGTTATCAGTACGTTTTCTAGTAATTTTTAGCCTGTTCCCATTTATTTTTTTTTCATATGATATATATACTGAGAATTCACATTATGGATGCATGAAGCTGTAGTATGAATATAAATATCTAGGATTTGACGTGAATGCGTACGTACTTTGCCCTCTCTTTTTTTGTGTTCTGGGTTAATAACACCACTGCACAGATGTGATGCTATCTACAGCATTCTTTCCTTTTTGTTTCGCCTGTTTCTTCTGCTGTATTAAGCTACATGAGAGTAGCATTTTGGCCTTGCCACTGCTGTATCCTTAGTGTCTAAGACAAGACTGAACACACGTTAGGTGCTCTAAGAATATTTGTTTAATGAAAATATGATACTGGTAGTTCTCCACCTCAAACCCTTTTGGAAGTAAAATGATTGTTTTGGGATGTTTTAGGCTGTAAGTTGCAGGAAACCAAATTCAAACATCTTAAGTGATAAACCCATCATTCTGCTTAGTGGAAAGTCTTAGGTAAGGGTGGGTTTTGGGGGTTGGTGAAGTCAGTGGCTCAGCAGCGTGAGCTCTGCTGTCTCTGGGTCGGCTGCCCCAGCTGGTTCCTCATGGTCAGAAGGTGGCTGCCCGCACAGTGAGCAGCGGTGTGCTTCCCTGTTCACGTCATCTGGGAGACAGGGAGACCGGCTTTTGTTTGCTGGGGATTGTATGTTTGAGAACCTAAACGCAGTAGAGAAAGGGGAAAAATGAAAAACATTTCCTTTCTTGGTAAGGACAGAAAGGATGAATTGAAGAAAACTGCAAAGAGAGCGAGAAGCCTCAGCGTGCATGGTTTTGGAGATGCTGAGGTATGGGGTTACTGGGGCTTGTGGAGCTCTTGTTAAAGGTTTGGAGGAAGATGAGAATTCCGCCATGCTTAGATATGGGGAAGGAGCCACATGAGAGACATTTGTTCTTCTGAGGTGCCCATTTGGGCTTTTGCTCACCTTACAAACCTTAGCGCCTTAAAGAAATACCTAAAAAAGCTAAAGCAGAAAACAAAAATGGCCCATAGTCTCAGCTTCCAGATAATAACTAATGATTTCAAACAATGAAATGGGCTGGGTGTGGTGGCTCATGCCTGTAATCCCAGCGCTTTGGGAGGCCGAGGGAGGTGGATCACCTGAGGTCAGGAGTTTGAGACCAGCCTGACCAATGTGCTGAAACCCCGTCTTTATTAAAAATATAAAAATTAGCCGAGCTTGTTGGTATGCGCCTGTAGTCCCAGCTACTCAGGGAGGCTGAGACAGGAAAATTGCTTGAACCTGGAGGGCGGAGGTTGCAGTGAGCTGAGATTGCACCACTGCGTTCCAGCCTGGGCATCGCAGCAAAACTCCATCTCAAAAAAAAAAAAACAAAACAAACATGCAAACTGTTAACTAATTTAAACAGTACAGGAAGGGGTAATGGGACCAGTCACCGTCTTTGTTGTGTGACACACACAGAATCGCCGCATTGTGTTTCCAGAGACACATCCTTCACAGGTTTCAGGATTCCTCCCAGGAGGCGGCCTGCAGCACATGCCGCTCCGCCTTGCCTGCCTGGTGATCTGTCCTGTGTGGAGGTGCCCGCTCCGCAGTCCTCCGTCGTGGGGCATGTTGGCGTGCTTCTGCAGTATATGTGATGTTGCAGCAAGTGTTTTTATATATATATGTATGTATGTGTTGGTGAACTTCTGCACATGGTGAGGCAAATTCCTAGTCATGGTGAGACTGCTGGGTGTCAAAGGTCATGGTGGAACTAACTGTGAAAGTTCTAATAAAAATCAAAAAAAAAACTGCGGCGAGGTGGCGGTGCTGTGTGCTCCGGAGGAGGAGAAGGCGTGAACCGGAGCGGAGTTGCAGGCGAGATTGGCCATTGCACTCGCCTGGTACACAGCAAGACTCCGTTCAAAAAAAAAAAAAAAAAAAAAAAGTTTCGACAGGTTTTGTCAAATTTCCCTCCGAAAAGGTTGCAGCAATTTTCTTTCTGCCATCGTGCTTTCTCCTTGCTGGTGTCTTGGAGGTTTTCATTTCTGACCACCTGATAGGTACAGTAGTTAACTGTACAGCTGGAGTTGTATCTGTTGAATTGAGTGGGAAATTCAGTGTCTTTTTACGGGTTTGTTGGTCCTTTGTGTTCCTTTTCTGTGAACTGCTAAATGATTGCCTTTTCTGTATGATGTGTGTGAACTTTGTAAGTGAAGGAAATAAGCTCCTTGCTGCCATATGGTTATGAATATTTCTTCTTCTTCTGTTTTTTTTTTTTTTTTTTTTTTTTTTTGAGACAGTCTCACTCTGTCGCCCAAGCTGGAGTGTAGTGGTGTCTCGGCTCACCGCAACCTCCACCTCCCGGGTTCAAGTGATTCTCCTGCCTCAGCCTCCCGAGTAGCAAGATTATAGGTGCCCATCACCAAGCCTGGCAATTTTTTTTTTTTTGAGACAGAGTCACCCAGGCTGGAGTGCAGTGGCAGCGTGATCTCGGCTCACTGCAACCTCCGCCTCCCGGGTTCAAGCGATTCTCCTCCCTCAGCCTCCTGAGTAGCTGGGATTACAGGCACATACCACCACACCCAGCTAATTTTTGTATTTTTAGTAGAGGCGGGGTTTCAGCATGTTGGTCAGGCTGGTCTCAAACTCCTGACCTCCTGATCTGCCCACCTCAGCCTCCCAAAGTGCTAGGATTACAGGCATGAGCCACCGCGCCCGGCCAATTTTTGTATTTTTAGTAGAGACGAGGTTTCACCATGTTGGCCAGGCTGGTCTTGAACTCCTAACCTCAGGTGATCCACCCTCCTTAGCCTGAGCCACTGTGCCCAGCTGTGACTGTTTCTTCTAATTTATCAGTTTTAAAGTCACATTTAGCTTTTTTCCATACAGAAGATTTAAATTTTTATGGAGTTGACTTTATGAACCTTTTTCTTGATGACTTTTGTTTTTTTTGCCCTGACCTGGCCACTGCATGTCACTCACTGCTGACACCAGTGTAGCACCCCTGCCTGGGCCATGTGGACCCCACTGGGAACTCCAAATGTAGGCACCTGAGGGCTCCAGCAAGCCACGAGAATCCTCCATGTCCTTGACAGAGCTAAATGCTGTGTCCCTGGGGCTGCTTTATGTTTATTGTGTGGTGTTAGACGCAGGTGGGCTGGGTGCTGAGGCTGAAGGCTAGTGTGGGAGGAGGGAAGTGGGTACAGAGTGCAGGGCACATGAACCCCACTGAGGAGGTGTTTGTTAAATGCCAGGGGGGCACTGAGCTAAAATGGCCTTGGCTCTTCCTCAGCTGATGCTGAAGGGGCTAAGGATAGAGACTTGGCCAGACAGGTTATTCTCTTTCTAGGTATGATTTTGAACCTGCCTGTTCTTGTTCTGTAGGTGAAGAGATGGCGTTTGTGAAGAGTGGCTGGTTGCTGCGACAGAGTGAGTACAGGATGTGCGGCCTGCGGTCGGCATTGCCGAAGGGCAATCTCTATTTCTGTTTGCTTAAAGCTGATCATGGTTAAAAACAAATAACAAAGTTTTTTGAGTGCTGTGGCCTTGAGTTTTCCCTTGGACATTCCTAGGTCTCTGTGAACTGTCTTGCACACCGTGAAGCTCCTCCTTGGTTGCTGAGTTGATAGGAACCAGGAAACAATGGCAGTCCCTGCTGCTTTCGCTCTCCTCACTAGTGTGCTTTATTTATTTTATTTTACTTTATTTATTTATTTATTTTTGAGACGGAGTTTCACTCTTGTTGTGGAGTGCAATGGCGCGATCTCGTCTCACCACAGCCTCCGCCTCTTGGGTTCAAGCGATTCTCCTGCCTCAGCCTCCCGAGTAGCTGGGATCACAGGCATGTGCCACCATACCCGGCTAATTTTGTATTTTTAGTAGAGAAGGGGTTTCTCCATGATGGCCAGGCTGGTCTCAAACTCCCGACCTCAGGTGATCTGCCTGCCTCGGCTCCCAAAGTGTTGGGATTACAAGCGTGAGCCACCATGCCCAGCCACGTGCTTTATTGTTAATGATGGTTCTGGAACTGCCTGGATCTACCTGAGCCCAGCTGAGATCTGGCACGGAAGTGCTGGTCTCACTGCCTCTCTCCTCTGGGGATTGAGCAGTGACTCAGATTCTCAGATATTGGTGTCTTGGTAATTATGTGGCTGAAGAGTTGATCTGAGGCAGAGTTTATCTAAAACCAAAACTTTTGTGTCTCCAAAAGGACTAGAGAAGAGACTCAGTTCTGTTTTTATGGGATTGAGATCCACTTTCCTAGGCTGATCTCCACAAACCTATCTTTCCTACACTGTCTGCTTATCTGTGAGGCTGTCACTCCAGGTGGGATTCATACTGTGTTTTAAAATGGGAAGAACCAGTCTTATTTATTAAAAAAAGAGCAAGCAGGATATTCAGTTATACTAGAAAGAGTGAAGCTAAGGGAAAAGTGACTACTATGTCATTTATGATTCTAGTCAAAAACTGAGCTGTATCACATACCATTGATTGTTCAGAGACGTGAGTTTATCTATGGGGGATACTTTCAGAAATCAGCTAAAGTCAAGTCTACCAGTGAGAATTGATGGCATACCTGAGATGGTTTATAAAAACTATTGTTTATGAATCGTTTGTGTTCCTGTTAAAAAGATTTTATGTATATATTCTTAATTCTCACAACAGCTGTATGATAGGTAAGTGGTATTATTTCCAGTTAAAGAAATTGAGATTCAGTGAGGTTAGGTAATTTGTCTAAGTGTAAACTATGGGTGACAAACCTACATTCAAAGTCAGAACTGTGTGATTTCAACACTGACACTATATGCACCCTGAGACCGGCCTTCAGCCTGTGTGCCTGTGAAGAGTTCCGTGGTCCCAACCTGGAGCTGAACCGTGTGCCCCCTTGTCTGTGACAGTCCTGTAGTCTTAGAATAGACAGAGGTGTCGTAGTGTCAGCTTCACAAAGGAAGTCCTGGAGCCCCAAGTTTCCTAGTTCTGGGTTTTGTGGTCCCAGCCTCCCCATAGTCAGGGGACATGGGGACCCTTGCTCAGACCTTGAGGGTGTGCCCTCCTTTGCTGGCCCTTCAGATGTCCTTTGGTGTTTCTCGCCAGGCTCTGCCACACCCTTGTTTGAGGGTAAGCTTTCCCTTCTCTGCCACAACTCGATGTAAGTGCTTTGTCAACATACTGATCAATGACCCTTTGGACAATGTTGTGCTCCCCATCAGTGCCTAGCATGGGGACGTACATAAAATGGATGTACTTTAAATAAGTCACATAGACTTTTCCAGTATTCTGGTCCATGGGTGTTTCAGAAATGTATATTCAGAAGACTTATCTATACATTACCCCATCTTCATATGTGTGGGTTAATTTTCCTTCTTTCCTGAAAGTAGAAGTATCAGTGCCAGTAAAACGAGGTGAGATGTATTACATCCATGGGGTTGTAGAGTAGCAGAGACTCACATGCGATGTGGTCACATGTAGGCAAAGCCGTCCTCAGGACTTCTTTTCCTGCCGTTGCCACATACAGTGTTGGGCCCTGGTCCTGGCCTCTGGAGGACAGCCTGATTTGGGAGTCTGCAGCCAGGGCTTTGATGCAGGTGAGATACTTGGGCAGAACTCCCTGGCCCAGTGGTTCCACCTGTCTCTGTGTTTCTGTGGCTCTATTTAGTAGGGCTTTTTGTTTGTTTGTTTGTTTGAGACAGAGTCTTGCTTTGTTGCTCAGGCTGGAGTGCAATGGCATGATCTCGGCTCACTGCAACTTCTGCCTCCAGCTTCAAGCGATTTTCCTACCTCAGCCTCCTGAGTAGCTGGGATTATAGGTGTGCACCACCAGGCCCGGCTAATTTTTGTATCTTTAGTAGAGACGGCGTTTCACCATGTTGACCAGGCTGGTCTTGAAATCCTGACCTCATGGTCCACCCGCCTTGGCCTCCCAAAGTGCTGGGATTACAGGCATGAGCCACCGTGTCCGGCTTTTCTTTTTATTTTTAAGATAGGGTCTTGCCCTGTCGCCTAGGCTGGAGTGCAGTGGCGTGATAACTGCTCACTGCAGCCTTGATCTCCCAGGTTCAAGTGGTCCTCCTGCCTCAGAATCTCAAGTAGCTGGGACTGCTGGCCTGTGTTAGCATGTCTGCCTATTTTCCTCTTTGTAGAGATGGGTCTTGCTATGTAGTCCAGGCTGGTCTCAAACTCCTGGGCTCAAGCGATCCTTCCACCTCAACCTCCCAAAGTGCTGGGACTACAGAGATAAGCCATTGCGCCCAGCCTGTTTGGCAGTTTCTGCACAGCTCAGGCAGCCAATCAAATGGATGCTTGGGCATCACTTAGTGGTCAGTTGGGCAAGTGCAGTGGACACCCCTCCTGGTGAGGAGAGTGCCTGATACTGGCAGGAAGGCTGGATGGTACGTATCTGGTTGACACCAGTTGCAGGCACGGCAACATAAAGGGAAGCACATGAAATGGGATTGTGTGTGTTGGCCAAGAACGGGGTGAGGTGTACAGGAACAGAAGGTGTAGTGGGCAGTGAGTGGATGTGAGGAAGGTACAGAGATGACCGGAGCTACAACTGGCCTTTAAGTCCACTGCAGGGGTTTTCCCTTCATGCAGTCAAGGAAATTACTGTTTTATAAAGTTAAATACCTGGTCCAAGATCACAAATGAAAGGTTGAATTCACTCAAGCTGACAGAAATATGTGAGGTAGTAGGATGTGCACAGCGTGAGAGGCCAGGCAGGGCCTGGTCTATATCCTGCTGTGCTCATTTATCGAGTGTATGCATCGGGGTGCCTTCCACACTGTAGGCTTCCTGTGGGAAATGGTAGGAGAGAGTATCTGTGAAAGCTCTTAAGGACAAGAAAAAAAAATGTGTTTTTTTTTTGAGACAGAGTCTTGCTCTGTACCCCAGGTTGGAGAGCAGTGGTGTGATCTCAGTTCACTGCAACCTCCACCTCCTGGGTTCAAGCGATTCTCCTGCCTCAGCCTCCCTAGTAGCTGGGATTACAGGTGCCTGCCTCCATGCTCAGCTAGTTTTTTGTAGTTTTAGTAGAGACAGGATTTCACCGTCTTGTCCAGGCTGGTCTCGAACTCCTGGCCTCAAGTGATCCATCCGCCTCGGTCTCCCAAAGTGCTGGGATTACATGCGTGAGCCACCGTGCCTGGCTGAAATGTGTTTCTTCAAAGAGGTAGGTATTATTTTTATTTGCATATAGAGACTTTACAGTCCAGCATTTTCTGATCTAGCAAATGTAGACAATATTTGGAAATTTAGAAACTGGAAAAGTTTGAAAGGTTTAAAGTTTAGTACTGTATGAGGAATTAAATGTTAGATATGTTTCATTTGCTGAAAAGCAAGCTTTTTTTTTTTTTTTTTAAACACCTTAATTTGAAAGTGTGGGGACTTCTAAGTTGGTTGGCAGCATTCTCTGTTGCCAGTGTGTGCCACATGCAGCCTGCTGACGCACCAGTGGGCGGGCCCTGGGGTCGGCTTTCGCTTTCATTCTGAGGGACTGCTTTGGTTAATTCTAACAGGTGTCATTAAGAGGTCAGGGGAAGAGTTCTTTTTGTTTCTGCTGTGACTGTGTCCTTGCTCTTTTGGCTCGAAGCCAACCTTTCCGCTGGGCGTGGCGGCTCGTGCCTGCAGTTGCAGCTAAACGGGAGGCTGAAGTGGGAGGATTGCTTGAGCCCAGGAGTTCAAGGCTGCAGTGAGCTGTGATCATGTCTGTGAATAGCCACTGCATTCCAACTTGGGTGAAATAATAAGACTCTATCTCTAAAAAAAACCCAACCTTACTATTTTTTTCCAGGTACTATTTTGAAGCGCTGGAAGAAGAACTGGTTTGATCTGTGGTCGGATGGTCACCTAATCTATTATGATGACCAGACTCGGCAGAATATCGAGGATAAGGTCCACATGCCAGTGGACTGTATCAACATCCGCACGGGGCAGGAATGTCGGGGTGAGCTGGCCTGTCTTGGCCAACTTCTGTCTTCTGCTCTTCCTCTGTCTCGGTGGGAACTGGGTCCTCTTCCTTCCGCGTTCTGCTTTCATTAACAGATTGAAGAAGGGCTCCATCTCAGAGGGGCGGCCACAGTGGCGCCCCAGGCACTTAGATTGTGAACCACATGGTTGGGGCAAATCAATTTTCTCACCTGAGTTAAACTCACAGTCCACGTCTCTTCTTCTCATGGAGAGGGAACCAGAGCGCTGGGAACCTCAAGAAGCACAGGCCACCCTAGACTGTTGATTTTGTACTCAGAAAATGGCTTCTGTTTGATGGGGACTGCAATCAATTGCTTAAAATCTGGGATGTTGGCCGGGTATGGTGGCTCATGCCTGTAATCCCAGCACTGGGAGGCTGAGGTCGGTGGATCACGAGGTCAGGAGTTCAAGACCAGCCTGGCCAAGATGGTGAAATCCCATCTCTACTAAAAATACAAAAAAATTAGCCAGGTGTGGTGGCAGGTGCCTGTAATCTCAGCTACTTGGGAGGCCGAGGCAGAGAATTGCCTGAACCCGGGAGTCAGAGGTTGCAGTGAGCCGAATACATTTTGTAGATGTCATCTTGACAGCTGGTCCTGTCAGTCAGCCTAGGTGTGTTCTTTCTTTCTGCATTATTGGAAAGGCACGGGGTTCTTTCATAGATGTAGCGCTTGATTTTTTGTCTAGTCCTTTGCTTCTCTGAGCTGGTAGTTCTTAGAAAATGTAAGGAGAAATCCTGAAAAAAGTTCTTTTCTTCTGCTTATTTTTCATAGATATTCAGCCTCCAGATGGAAAGTCAAAAGACTGCATGCTCCAGATTGTTTGTCGAGATGGGAAAACAATTAGTCTTTGTGCAGAAAGCACAGACGATTGCTTGTAAGTTTTGCTTTCTTACGTGTTTAATTTAAAAAGTATTTTCTATTTTAACTTCTGATTACCAAAAAATGAAAAGAATGGGCGTGGAGTTCTCTTTCAGGCGTCAGAATGAGGGACTCAGTGGATGTGTGAGAGAAATGCAAGAGTCGCTTTTCCAGTTCTGGTTTCCGCCTCCCTGAGACTGCCTGGGCCTATCGAATTGTGGAGAAAATGGCAGAAAGGAATAGCAGTTTCGTCATGCTCTCTCTCTTTTTTTCTTTTTTCTTTTTTTTATTATTATACTTTAAGTTTTAGGGTACATGTGCACAACGTGCAGGTTTGTTACATATGTATACATGTGCCATGTTGGTGTGCTGCACCCATTAACTAGTCATTTACATTAGGTGTATGTCCTAATGCAATCCCTCCCCCCTCCCCCCACCCCAAGACAGGCCCCAGTGTGTGATGTTCCCCACCTTGTGTCCAAGTGTTCTCACTGTTCAGTTCCCACCTATGAGTGAGAACATGTGGTGTTTGGTTTTTTGTCCTTGCGATAGTTTGCTCAGAATGGTGGTTTCCAGCTTCATCCATGTCCCTACAAAGGACATGAACTAATCCTTTTGTTATGGCTGCATAGTATTCCATGGTGTATATGTGCCACATTTTCTTAATCCAGTCTATCATTGATGGACATTTGGGTTGGTTCCAAGTCTTTGCTATTGTGAATAGTGCCCCAGTAAACATACATGTGTATGTATCTTTTTAGCAGCATGATTTATAATCCTTTGGGTATGTGCCCAGTAATGGGATGGCTGGGTCAAATGGTATTTCTAGTTCTAGATCCTTGAGGAATCGCCACACTGTCTTCCACAATGGTTGAACTAGTTTACAGTCCCACCAACAGTGTAAAAGTGTTCCTATTTCTCCACATCCTCTCCAGCACCTGTTGTTTCCTGACTTTTTAATGAGCGCCATTCTAACTGGTGTGAGATGGTATCTCACTGTGGATTTGATTTGCGGTTCTCTGATGACCAGTGATGATGAACATTTTTTCATGTGTCAGTTGGCTGCATAAATGTCTTCCTTTGAGAAGTGTCTGTTCATAGCCTTTGCCCACTTTTTGATGGAGTCATCATGCTCTTTTTCATTATTAGATTCACAGTGGGTAATAGGCATAGTTGAAATAAAATGACCAGAAAAGCAAGAAAGTAAAGAGTGAGGAAACTCAGTTCCTAGGGCTCCTGTGACAAATGGCTGAACACTGAGTGACGGAAATGGCAGAAATTCATTGCCTCACAGTTCCAGAGGCTGCAAGTCTGGAATCAGTGTGTCAGCAGGTCCTTGCTCCCTCTGAGATGCTGCGTAGGATTCTTTCTTGCCTCTTCCTGGCTTCTAGTGGTTTCTGGTAGTCCTTGGTGTTCCTTGGCTGGCAGCCACATCACTCCGGTCTCTGCCTCTTTTGTCACATGGCTGCCTTCTGCTGTGTCTGTGTCCAGAATTCTCTTTTCTTGCAAAGGACACCAATCATAATGGATTAAGGACCCACCTTCATTCTCTGTGACCTTATCTTAATTTGATTCCATATGCAAATATCCTGTTTCCAAATAAGGTCCCATTCCAGGGTACTGGGGTTTAGGATTTATGCATATCTTTTTCATGAGGACGTAATTCAACCCGTAATAGAGACCTTTGAGAAATACGGTGAAATGGATTAGATCATCTTCCCTCAGGGGAAAACATTTCAATGGTGTGACCAAATAAAGAAGTTTGATCTCAAGCACAAACTACAAACAGCTAAAGAAAGAAATAGATGATTCTACTGAGATGTTTTTTAATCCTACCCGAATCCCGGAAGCAGTAACTGGATAAGTTAATTAAATCTTGCAAATTTTCAGTATTAGCCTGTAGTCTGGAGTGATGCTGATTAAGTGTAAGTTACTTTTTGAAAAAGCTAAGGAAAAAAGTTCTTGAGAATGTGATGTCCTTGGGGCCTCGGCAGAGGCTGGACGATTTTCCCAGGACTCATCATTGCAGGGCACTGAAAGGCACTGAAGCTCACAGGAGTTGGGTAATTTTCTGGCTGGTGAAGTGAGCACTAGCATGGGACATTCAAAGGAATATGCTCAGAAGAGAGTGTAGGACCCAGATTTTTCAGAAAAGACTTACTCATTCTCAGAAGAGATTTCCTTCTCTTCTAGCCCTCTGCCCTCATATTACAGAATGTTGATTGTGAGGGTAACACCTAGCCATCAAACTGTTGCTGGGCTGGACTGAGGTGGAACAGGGTGGAACTACCAGTTGATACCAGATTAGGTAGGAAGAGTGTCAGGGAGAAATAACTCATACTTTATGAAAGCAAACAAGTTTTATGTATCACTTCCCATGTTAAACACGAGCAGGATGTAAGGAAGTGGCTTGGCAACTGTGCAGATATACCATGAAGGAAAAATAAGAAAAGGAAAATGCAGCCTCAGGAAAAGCTCCTAGAGTGGAGGGAAATAAAACCCAAGGAACAGAAGCAGAGTCTTCAGGAATGCTTTCCTGGCCACCATATTTAAAATTACATCTCCCTGTCCCCATACACACTCACCAGCTACCAGCTGTTTCTCTTGTTCATCATCTGCTTTCATTAGAATATATGCTGTGTGAGGGCAGAGATTTACGTTTCTTTTCTCCTCTTTTGTGTCTGTTGCTGTCAAGAGGGTGCCATTCACATTATCATCTGAGGAAAGTGGTCTTCCCTTGCATACAACCCCAAACGAAAAGTGAATCACTGGCATGGAGGGAAAGACTGGAGATACTCTCAGTGAGGGGAAAAAGATGAAAAGATCAGAGATACGTTGGACTAAAAAAAGTTCAGAAAGATTATTGATGTTCATAAAGTATAGAACCCAAAAGAGGTAATTAGAAATTCAGGGCAAGAGAAATGTTCTGAAATAATCGAACAGAATTTGCAGACCAAAGGCCACAGTAGACTCTTCCACCTGAAATGACAACAAAATCTATATAAGATACATGAATAATCCAGTATGATACCCTTTAGCAAAGTGAATGACAATGGAATGCTGCATACAAAATCAGTTGGGGAATTTTGCAACTTAACTGCATTCCATAGAAAGCCAGAGCACTTGGCTGGGCACGGTGGCTCACGCTTATAATCCCAGCACTTTGGGAGGCCAAGATGGATGGATCACCTAAGGTCAGGAGCTCTAAGGTCAGGAGCTCGAGACCAGCCTGGCCAACATGGTGAAACCTCGTCTCTACTAAAAATACAAAAATTAGCTGGGCGTGGTGGTGGGCACCTGTAATCTCAGCTGCTCGGAGGCTGAGGCAGGAGAATTGCTTGAACCTGGGAGGCAGAGATTGCGGTGAGCCAAGATCGCGCCACTGCACTCCAGCCTGGGTGACAGAACGAGACTCCATCTCAAAAAAAAAAAAAAAAGCGAGAACACTTGAAAATAAATGAATGCATCTTTCAACTCAGGGAGATAGTAAAATGAGAATAAAACAAAAGGAATTGATGAAGATAAGAGGGATAGGGTCAGTAAAAAAAGTAAGAGGTAAAGGAGTGAGGGAGTGCCCAAGAGAACGCTTTTTTTGTTTTTTGAGATGGAGTTTTGCTCTTGTCGCCTAGGCTAGAGTGCAATGGCGTAATCTCCACTCATTGCAACCTCTGCCCCCTGTGTTCAAGCAGTTCTCCTGCCTCAGCCTCTGGAGTAGCTGGAATTACAGGCACGTGCCACCACGCCCGGCTAATTTTGTGGTTTTAGTAGAAGCTTGGTTTTACCACGTTGACCAGGCTGGTCTCAAACTCCTGACCTCAGGTGATCACCTACCTCGACCTCCCAAAGTGCTGGGGTTACGGGTGTGAGCCACCGTGCCCAAGTGAGAGACCGCTTTTTGTGTATCAATTAAGAAAGCTCTTGTGATACTTAAGATTCAGATATCTAGTTTCTTTGACAATATAGTGGAAAGTAGGTAGGTATAGAGATTGTTAGAATAGTTTTGCAGGGCCATTTGGCAATACCTGCTGAAATAAATTATGTTTATATCCTTTGATGTGGCATTTTCAGTCTTTGGAATTTGCCCTATGGAAATGTCTACATAAGAGTGCAAGGGTAATAGGGATGCTAATAGCATTCTTTTCTTCTTTTTTTTTTTTCTTGAGATAGAGCCTCTCTCTGTCATCCAGGCTGGAGTCCACTGGTGTGATCTTGGCTCACTATAGCCTCGACCTCCCAGGAGCAAGCCATTCTCCCACCTCAGCCTCCCAAGTAGCTGGGACTATAAGCATGTGCCACCAGCTAATGTTTGTATTTTTTGTAGAGCTAGGATTTCACTATGTTGCCCAGGCTGGTTTTGAACTCCTGGGCTCAAGTGATCTCCCTGCCTTGGCCTCCCGAAGTGCTGGGATTACAGGCATGAGGCACTACATCCGGTCTCCAGCATTCTTTTTAATGTTGAAAATTGCTAATAATCTAAATTTACTTGTATCATGGAATATTACATAGCTGTTAAAAAGGAAGAAGATCTGTGTGTATGCCATGAACTGACAAAGCAAGTGGCAGTGCATTTCACATTTATTAAAAAGTAAAGTAAAAAATATAGTATAGATTATGTTTTAAATATTATGTATCTATTATGGATGTAATTTTAAAAAATATATATTCCTAGTGCATGTCTCAAGCGGTTTGGGGCAAGGCCTGAAGACCTGTTCTTTAAACAGATCTTTTCAGGAATTCTGATGCCAACTCTAGTTTGAGAATCATTGAAATACTGGATTGCCTTAAATAAAGTACCCTTTTTCTTTTCTCCAGGGCCTGGAAATTTACACTCCAGGATTCTAGGACAAACACAGTAAGTTGCTAATGGCAATCACCTATAATTTTTTTTTTTTTTTTGACAAGATATCACTCTTTCACCCAGGCTTGAGTGCAGTGGTGCTATCTCAGCTCACTGCAGCTTCTACCTCCGGGCTGAAATGGTCCTCCCACCTCAGCCCCCCCTTCCCAGTAGCTGGGACTATAGGCCCATGCTGCCGTGCCTAGCTTATTTAGAAAAACGTTTTTGTGGAGATGAGGTCTCACTATGTTACCCATGCTGGTATCAAACTCCTGGGCTCAAGTGATCCTCCCACTTTCACCTCCCAAAGTGTTGGGATTACAGGCGTGAGCCACCACACCTGGCCACCAGTAATGTTTTCACATGGTCTTATGTAACAATTGGAGAATGGGGAAAATGGGCTTCTTGGCCATCCAGCTGTGAATGGGCAGGTAGCACTGGGCAGGCACCTTTCACTAACAGTGAGCAAGCTGGGTTTGCCAAACGTTTTTGGCAGGAAGCACCCTCCTCACACAAGCATGCTTGTTCCAGTGTTGCTTTCTAGAAACGTTTGTATTTCTCAAAGTTCTGCAACACTTTGAATTCTGCTGTGGTTTGCAGTAAAGGCTTAGAAAGAACTGCAGGATCCTTTTCATGCATGGGAGCTCAGCCTTGTGAAACAAACATTTTTGTGACTTGTACTTGTCTCTCGTCCTGTTTCTGGCCTTAGGAGGTCACTGAGACAGTGAACCTCATTTGTAAGAGCCTTGTAATGCCATCTTTATCTGTCAGGGATCAAGGCAGTGTTACTCTGGTCAGAGTTTTCATTCTTTAGATGGGATTTTCCCTTCCTTTATCTTTGTAAGAAAAGAAAAGGTGGATCAAGCTTACAGAAGAATGTGTGCATGTGGGAGAAGAAAGTAAAAGGCTTAATACCCAAGCGTCAGTGTTCTCTTCTTTTGTTAGCACAACACAACTTCATTCTAAGCTTACTCTGCAGCTGCGGTTACCTTTTCTTCATGAAAATCCTTTTTTTGGGGTAAAATTAGTATTAACGATCCATATAGTTAAGGGCAAGCTCCACAAATGATTCTTTGTGTGAAATTTTTTTTTTTTTTTTTTTGAGACAGTCTTGCTCTGTCGCCCAGGCTGGAGTGCAGTGGAGCGATCTTGGCTCACTGCAACCTTTGCTTCCCAGGTTCAAGCAGTTCTCCTTTCTCAGCCTCCTAAATAGCTGGGATTACAGGAGCATGCCACCACACCCAGCTAGTTTTTGTATTTTGAGTAGAGATGGGGTTTCACCATGTTGGTCAGGCTGGTCTTGAACTCCTGACCTCGTGATCTGCCCATCTCGGCATCCCAAAATCCTGGGATTACAGGCGTGAGCCATTGCACCTGGCCACATTTTTTTTTTTTTTTTTTTGAAGCGCTAACATGTTTTTCTTTAAATTACATTGGGGAGTAATTTAATGAAGAATTTTGTTTTTTAAGGTAAAAAACAGACTGTGTATAGGACATATCTCTGATACATTTTAGATTGTAGGGTTTTTATTTGCGAATAAAGGACTGTTGAGAGTGCTGTAACATCTTTATTTCTTTGGAGACAGAGTCTCGCCCTGTTGCCTGGGCTGGAGGGCAGTGACTTGATCACTGCAGTCTGGAGCTCCTGGGCTCAAGTGATCCTTGAGATTTAGCCCCTTGAATAGCTGGGGCCATAAGCACCATGCCCAGTTAATATCTTGTTGTTTGTAGAGATGGGCTCTCCCTCTGTTGCCTAGGCTGGCCTTGGAACTCCTGGGCTCTAGCGATCCTCTCACCCAGCCTCCCAAAGTGTTGGGATTACAGATGTGAGCCATTGCACCTGGCCTGAAGTAACATCTTTTAAAAGGCATTGGGTAACAGTGGGGTCTCTGAGTGCCTTCCTGGCTGTGAGAGCTGTAATCCTGTTAGGGGTTGAGTGAGGACCACTTTGCTCCTGCATTTAGAGGATACCAGAGTAGGGCTGGGGGCCCCCACTGGACCGGGAAAGTTTTTCCTGTTTTGCAGAGAGCTATATATCTTTTTGTCTTTTAAAAATTTTAATTTGCTAAATAAAAGGGACAATGCACAGCATCATTGAGCACGCAGGTGCTGGGAAGCTGTCCTGCCCTCACCCTCTCCTCTCTCCCACAGGCGTATGTAGGCTCTGCAGTCCTGACTGATGAGACATCCGTGGTTTCCTCACCTCCACCATACACAGCCTATGCTGCACCGGCCCCTGAGGTAGGGAGAACCCTGAGCCTTCAGGTGAGGGAAGCTTGGGGTCTCTGCCGCTGTCCTGCTTTGTTTTTTGAATGAAATTAGAAATGTACTCTAAACCTTTTCTTCTTAAAACAGATGATTTCTTACCAACTTTTGTTTTCATGAAATAAAGCAACTATTTTATATAGTTCAGCACATTGTAATGTGCTGTATTAATGTGTAACAAGTTTTTAAGATAGATCTAAAAATGCATCATGTTAATGATAGTTGCTTTGGGTAATGAGATTTTGATGATCTGTAGTTCATATGGAATGAATTACTTGAATTCTCCTTACAGTCAGAAAAAAATGCTATATTTGGGGGAAAATAACCCTTACAAAAATCACGTCAAATACTTTGGGATGTCCTCTTGTTGGGGTGCTTGGGGTGCTGACTGAGCTGATTTGTATGTAAGTCTGTTGTGTGGAACATGCTGCTTTTTTTTTTTTTTTTTTTCTTTGAGACGGAGTTTTGATCTTCTTGCCCAGGCTGGAGTGCAGTGGCACTATCTCGGCTCACTGCAACCTCTGCCTCCCGGGTACAAGCGGTCCTCCTGCCTCAGCCTCCCGAGTAGCTGGGATTACAGGTGCTTGCCACCATTCCTGGGTAATTTTTTGTATTTTTAGTAGAGGTGGGGTTTCACCATGATGGCCAGGCTGCTCTCGAACTCCTGACCACAGGTGATCCACCTGCCTCTGCCTCTCAAAGTGCTGGGATTACAGGCGTGAGCCACGGCGCCTGGCTGGCACTTGTAAACTTTCTTTTTTTTTTTTTTTTTTTTTGAGACGGAGTCTCACGCTGTTGCCCAGGCTGGAGTGCAGTGGCGCGATCTCGGCTCACTGCAAGCTCCGCCTCCCGGGTTCCCGCCATTCTCCTGCCTCAGCCTCCTGAGTAGCTGGGACTACAGGCGCCCGCCACCGCGCCCGGCTAATTTTTTGTATTTTTTAGTAGAGACGGGGTTTCACTGTGGTCTCGATCTCCTGACCTTGTGATCTGCCCACCTCGGCCTCCCAAAGTGCTGGGATTACAGGCTTGAGCCACCGCGCCCGGCCTGGCACTTGTAAACTTTCTGCGCTCACTTACTCTAGTTCCTTTTTCTGTAGATTCTTTGGGGTATACTACATAGGCAATCATGTCATCTACAAGTAGGAACAGTTTTCTTTGTAACCTGTATGCCTTCTGTTTCCTTACCTTGCCTTATTGCCTTGGTTAGACCTTCAGATATTATGTTGAATAGCAGTAGTGAGAGAAGACATCCTTGCCTCGTTCCTGATTTTAGGGGGGATGTATTCAGTGTTTTTCTTTTTTTTTTTTTTGAAATAGAGTCTCACTGTGTCGCCCAGGCTGGAGTGCAGTGGCATGATCTCGGCTTACTGCAAGCTCCACCTCCCGGGTTCACGCCATTCTCCTGCCTCAGCCTCCCGAGTAGCTGGGACTACAGGCACCTGCCACCACGCCCGGCTAAATTTTTTTTTTTTTTTTGCATTTTTAGTAGAGATGGGATTTCACCATGTTAGCCAGGGTGGTCTCAATCTCCTGACCTCGTGATCCACCCACCTCTGCCTCCCAAAGTTTTGGGATTATAGGCGTGAGCCACCGCGTCCAGCCAATGTATTCAGTTTTAAGTATACATTCATTTAGTAGTAATGTACTGTTTAATTCAGTATTTAATTAGTATTGAATTTAGTTTTACATATGCATTTATTTAGTATTTAATGCATTCATTAAGTATGCTGTTAGCTGGAGGTTTTTTACATTTATTCTTCATCAGGTTTAGGAATTCCCTTTTTCTAGTTTTCCAGGAGTGTTTATCGTGATGGGTGTCAGTTGCCTTCCTGCCCCTCTCCCCTCCCCTCCCCTCCCCTCCCCTCCCGTCCCCTCCCCTCCCCTCCTGTCCCCTCCCCTGCCCTGCCCTCCGAGATGAAGACTCACTCTCTTGCCCAGGATGGAGTGCAATGGTACTATCATTAGCTCACTTCAGCCTGGAATTCCCTGGGCTGAGGCAATCATCCTGCCTCAGCCTCCTGAGCCACCATGGCTGCAAAAAAATTTTTTTTTTTTTTTTGTAGAGACAGGGTCTTGCTCTGTTGCCCAGGGTGGTCTTGAACTCCTGGCCTCAAGTGATCCTCCTGCTTCGGCCTCCCAAAGTGATTTTGTTAAATACATTTTTCTACAGTAATTAATATGATTGTGAGGTTTTGTTTTTCTTTTTAGCCTGCTAATATGGTGGATTCTGGTGTTTGGCTTTCACATACTGAACCAGCCTTGCATTCCCTGGAATAAAACCTACTTGGTCATGGTGTATGATTCTTTTTATTTATTGCTGAATTGAATTTGCTAATATTTGTTAAGGATTTTTGCATCTGTATTTATGAAGGATATTGGTCTATAGTTTTCTGTCTTTGTGCTTTGTCTTATTTTATCAAGGCAAACTGACCTTATAGAATAAATCGGAAAGTTTTTTCTGCTCCTTTCTTTTCTGGGAGAAATTGTGTAGAATTGGAGTTAGTTCTTCTTTAAAATTTGGTAGAAATCTCCAGTGAAACTATCAGGTCCTAGAGATTTCTTTTTTGGGAGATTTTAAATGACAACATCTGTTTTCTTTTTCCTTTTTTTTTTTTTTTTTGAGGTGGAGTCTCACTCTGTCGCCCATGCTGGAGTGCAGTGGTGCAATCTTGGCTCACTGCAATCTCCACCTCCTGGGTTCACACCATTCTCCTGCCTCAGCCTCCCGAGTAGCTGGGACTACAGGTGCCGCCACCACGCCCAGTGAATTTTTTGTATTTTTTAGTAGAGACGGGGTTTCACCATGTTAGCCAGGATGGTCTTGATCTCCTGACCTCGTGATCCACCTGCCTCAGCCTCCCAAAGTGCTGGGATTACAGTTGTGAGCTACCGCGCCTGGCCTCTTTTTCCTTTGTTTGGCTTAACCAACACACATCTATTTGTCACAGTTCTGGACTGAAGGCCCAAGATCAAGGTGCGGGCAGTGTTGGTTCTCCCGAGGCCCCTCCTGAGCTTGCACATGGCCTTCTCCTCCCTGTATCCTCATATGACCTTTCCCTCCAGGCCTACTGCAGATGCAGCTTTCTTAATAGTGACTGGTCTACTCAGATTCTCTAGTTTGCATGGAGTAGGTTTTGATAGTTTGTAGTGTTTGTGGAATTGTTTCTTTTCTTATAAGTTGTCTGATTTATGTGTGTAGAGTTCTTTATAGTGTTTTCTTATTATCCTTGTGATGTCTGCAGAGTCTATAGTAAAAATCCTCCAGTTCATTCTTTCCTGATACTGGTAATTTGTCTTTGCTCTTTTTGACAGTTTACTAAAGGTTTTATTAATTTTATAAATAGTTTCAAAGAAATAGCTTTTCATTTTATTCACTTTTTCTGTTTCTCAATTTCATTGATTGTACTCTTTTATTTCCTTCCTTCTGCTTGCTCTGTGGACTTTGGTTTTCAAAAGTTTGACTGTAATGTGTATTTGTATGGATTTCTTTGGGATTATCCTGTTTGGTATTCATTCAGCTTCTTGAATATAGGGGCTTGGGCTTTTGCTAAATTGGGGAAATTTTAAGCCATTCTTCTTTTTTTTTTTTTGAGACGGAGTCTCGCTCTGTCGCCCAGGCTGGAGTGCAGTGGCGCGATCTTGGCTCACTGCAAGCTCCGCCTCCCGGGTTCACGCCATTCTCCTGCCTCAGCCTCCTAAGTAGCTGGGACTACAGGCACCGCCACCTCGCCTGGCTAGTTTTTTGTGTTTTTAGTAGAGACGGAGTTTCACTGTGGTAGCCAGGATGGTCTGGATCTTCTGACCTCGGGATCCGCCTGTCTCGGCCTCCCAAAGTGCTGGGATTACAGGTGTGAGCCACCGCGCCCGGCCTTAAACCATTATTCTTGAGTGCTTTTCCATCCTCAGCCTCCTTCTACTCCCTTTGGCACTCTGATGACATCCCTGTTAGTCTGATGTGTCCCAGAGATGCTCTTTTTTTTTTTTTTTTACTTCAGTCTATTTCTCCTCTGTTGTGTTCTGGTTGGGTAATTTCTACCCTTTATATTCATGTTTATGGATTCCTTCCTTTTGTCATCTCTGTTATGTTGTTGGACTCATTCGTTGAACTATTTAAATTGGTTATTGTATTAGTTCTGAAATTTTTATTTGGTTATTCTTTATATCTTGATATATAAAAAATTGAATGTATGTCTCTATATACTTTTTACTGAGATTTTTCTGTTTTATGGTTGATATTTTATATTTTTTATTTATTTCAAGTATGTTCATAATTGCTTGTTGAAAGTTTTTATGATAGCTGCTTTAAAAACCTTTCCAGATAATTCCAACATCTTTGCCATCTTTGTGTTTGTGTTTTTTGTTGTCGTTTCTCATTTAGTTGAGATCTTCCTGATTCTTGGTGTGATGAATGGCTTTTGATCAAAAGCTGGACATTTTAAGTACTGTAAGACTCTGAATCTTATTTAAATCTCATGTTTTAGCAGACCTGCTTCTCGGGGGCTGCTTTATTGCTGCCAGGTAGAGGTGGAAGTCCAGGCTGGCCTTGAGCCTCAGTTGACAGCCATGGGCCAGGTTTCTTGTCGCTGTGGAGGGAGTTGTGAATTTAGGTTCTCACTAGATCTCCACTGAGACCACCCTGTCTGAGAAGAGGAAAGGCTCTTACTGCTTCCCCCAGAGCCTCCGCTGATACTGTGGTTGGCACTGATAGGACTCACTCTCCGCTTGGTCTCAGTGGAATAGGGAGGGCACCGTATTTCTGCTGGGTGGGAGTGGGGTTCCGGCTCCTCACACGGTCTCCGTGGACACCACCCAGCGGGATGGGGGTGTTTTGTTTCCATCTGGCAGGGAAGAAATTCTCAGCCCCCTACTCAGTCTTACTTGTCGGTGTTCTGAGGACCCGGCGGTGCCTGCTGAGCACGGAAATTCAGGCTCTTCACACTTGGCCTTTGCCGGTGTGAGGCTGAAGGTTTTCTGTGGTGGTTCTCTGGAGTAGAGAGGTTATTGTCTAAAAACGTTCTGTCTTGCTAGGTTGCTCCTTTCCTTCTTAGATTCTTTGTTAAAGCGAGCAGCTCTTCTCAGGGTCTTTTTGGTCTGCACTGATTGGTGCTTCCAGCTTGCCACCTTCCCCATTACCCAGTGTGGGATGTGTGAAGCAAAAAGGAAACCCAGGTCCTCCCTCAGGTGCTAAAGTTCCTCGCCCATCTGTCTTCTCCTCACTCTTCAGTCTTCTTATGTTTGCTTTGTATATAATGTCCAGAGATTGTAGTTGTACTTAGCAGGAGGAATACAGGAAAGAATGTCTACTCCATCTTCGAGAAGTGGGAGTCTTGTCTCCTGCTTTTGTAAGATAACAGGTTTAGATCTACACACACATTTGCCTGGCTACACCTCCGTTCTCCCTGTGTCAGAGCACTTGTCACAGAATGACAGTGATTGTGCAGGTATGTCTGATCTCCTCTTACCTGTGAGTATGCCAGGAAGGCCAGTCTTTGGTTTCAGTATTTCTCAGCACATAGTGGTCATTCACTGCCGGCTGAGGTGGGTCTGCTGCCCGTTTCTAGCCATGTCCTTTCATAGGTGTGTGCAGCCCGAAAACCATCAGTCACCTGCCCAGGTACCACAGCTCAGGACACCCTCATCTTCCATATTGCGCCTGGAATCGCTGAACTTGGGCCACAGAGGGCTCTGCTTCCAGGCTGGCTTTGCCTGGAGGATAGTGGTTTCGGTGAATCTCCTTATCACCTGGTCCAACCGTATCATTTTACAGATGGGCAAAGGAAGGCCTAGGTAGGTGGCTTACTGAGGGTCAGGTTAACAGCACAACTGAATTGAAATCCAAATCTCATGCAAGTCCAGTTCTCTTCTTCTGTTGTGTTTTTCTGCCTTCTTCATTCTGTAGCCTGAAAGTGGGCTCCAATTGTAGCTTTTGTTTGTTTTTTAGTAATTTTAAAACAGGGGGCATAACCACACTGTTTCATGTTTTGTTTTGTCTTTTTAATTGACTGTTAAATTTTATTGATTGCAACCTGGAGACCACAATTTGAATACATTACTAGAAGTTTCACAATTGTATTTCTAATGGGCCTGTTTCTTTTCAGCAGGCGTACGGCTATGGGCCCTACAGTGGTGCGTACCCGCCAGGAACTCAAGTTGTCTATGCTGCGAATGGGCAGGCGTATGCCGTGCCCTACCAGTACCCATATGCAGGTAACTCAAGCCAGCCTTTCATTCCTCATTTCTGTCCATTTGCTGAGTAGACCAGAGAGACCTGTAAACATTTTTATTTTTCAGTTTAAGGTTAAGTGAGCTATATTTTCTGGTTGTAGACCACAAATCACTGTGTTACTATGCTTTTAAAAAGCCTTTGGTAGTTTCGTACTGCTCTGCAAAGCTAGAGTAGGCTTGAGTTTTAGAACTTTGCTAATTGTGTCTGGATTAGTTCTCAGAGAATTTCGTACTTAATGGGATTCACTTACATTGAGAAGCAGCCAAAGTAAGAGGCCCATTTTAAGGGATGAGAGGGACCTTTCAGCTGTTCTTCTGGTGAGGTCCTTGGAAAGTTATCACTACTGAGGTGATGTTCTGTTTCACAGTGGAGTAGAGGCCTGGAAAGGGCTTGTATTTATTCTGGGCTTGGAGTCTGTTCTTTCTATTCTTCACCTTACATGAAACACATGGCAGGCGTGAGTAGCTGGTGTAGGGGTATCATGTCCGGGTCTCCTGGGCAAGGCGGTTGGCAGGGTGGAGGTGTGGGACAATGCTGGCCACTGCTGGGGCTGCAGTGAGGGTGGGGAGGGCAGAACTGTGGCCGATGGCCCCTGTGAAGTGAGGCTGGCCAGGCACAGTGGGCACAGCACCATAGCGCCGGATGCATGGGTGGGTGGGCTGGAGCCAGCGGCTGAGCTCAGGAGAGACAGGAATGTGGGGGTTTGCAGGAGGAGGAGTAGTCCCGGGCTGTGAGCAAAACTAGCACGGTGTCTCAGTGCAGAGGCAGAGGGAGGTGAGCTGGTACCAGAAGGGTGGGTCACTGATCGTGGTGCCCAGAGAAGTCAAGGAGGCCTCTGGTTACAATCTCAGATGGTGTCCTTGTAGTTGGTGGTGGTTGCTTTGGCTTTGGATGCGTTTAGCACTTAGAATGGGTTCTGGAGTCTGGAGTAGAAATAGAGAAATTCCACACTGCTCCTTCTGGGAATCTGAAGCACATTCACTCCACTAGCGTGGACTTTGGAGGATCCTGCTTTGCTTGACTTTTGTTCATGTCAAGTTGAAAAACCATTAAAATAATAAGGAATTATGACAGATTAAATATTTGTCCATTGTCTTGTGAGCCTAGCACAAATACTTTTGTTTGAATTACAGTAAGTCCTCACTTAACATCAACAGTAGATTCTTGGAAACTGTGAGTTTCAGTGAAACAACATGTAATGAAACTGATTTTACCGCAGATTAATTGGTATAAACAAGAGTTAAGTTTCTGTGGCTTATTTCTGGCCACAAAAACATCACCACTTCTAATATTAACCATTGAAATTAATGTGAGCTATACATACATGTAAGATTAATAAAGACAAGTAAGATAATTATTTACCCAGTTAGTTCATGGCCATGGGTGGCTGGACCCTCTCCCAGCAGGTCAGGGCTAAGGTGGGAATGCACCAGGGATAGGATCCTATCTCATTGCAGGGCACACTCACCCACACCCCCTCACTCCGACTGGGACAGTTTAGACACGCTGATTCACCTCAGGGGCACATCTTTGGGATGGGAAGGAACTGAACTATCCCAAGGAAACCCATGCAAATGTGGAAAAAACCTTCACTCTGCACAGGTGGTGCCCCGAGGGGAATCGGTTCTTTTCTTCTCTTAATGTTATAATGAAACTACCTTAAATGAAACAGTGTTATTTGAGGACCTCCTGTACTTCCTCCATATAAAATATTTTCTCCTTATAATCATGCATTTGTATTTCTAGTCTTGTTTTTAAATTATATGTATTGAATCCCAAGTGCTACGTAATACTCATAAGTATTTTTAGTAATTGCCTATTATCATATTGGGTGATGTATTACTAAACCTTCCAGTATTGGCTGTTTTTTTCCTCTCTTTTTTTTTTTTCTTTTTTTTGCTATTGTAGATACTTATTTGAACATCTTTAATCCTTTTCCTTTTTGTTCCTGTTGAATATGCATTAGAATATATTTCTTTTTTTTTTTGAGATGGAGTTTCATTCTTGTTGCCCAGACTGGAGTGCAATGGCATGATCCCGGCTCACTACAACCTCTGCCTCCTGGGTTCAAGTGATTCTCCTGCCTCAGCCTCTCAAGTAGCTGGAATCACAGGCATGTGCCACCGTACCCGGCTAATTTTGTATTTTTAGTAGAGATGGTTTCACCTGTTGACCAGTCTGGTCTCAAACTCATGAGCTCAGGTGATCCATCCACCTTGGCCTCCCAAAGTGCTGGTATTACAGGTGTGAGCCACCCCGCCCGGCTTAGAATATAGTTCTTTTTTTTTCCCCCCACCCAACTAGAATATATCTCTATATGCAGACAGGCCCTAACTCAGGATGGTTTGACTTAATGATTTTTTGACTTTACGATGGTGCAAAAACAATGTACATTTAGTAGAAACCATACTTCAGGTACTCCTACCCCCATTCTGTTTTTCACTCTCAGTGTAGTACTCATTCAGTTACATGAGATCTTTGACACTTGATTGTAGTAGACTTTGTGTTAGCTGATTTTCCCAGCTACAGACTAATGTTAGTGCTCTGAGCAGTTGAAGGTGGGCTGTGTTAAGGTATGATGTTCAGTAGGTTAGGCATATTAAATGCATTTTGACTATGATGTTTCAACTTACGATGAGTTTATTGGGAGGTAACCCCATTGTAAGTTGAGGAGCATCTCTATTAATATGTCAGAAGGCATAGACATTTTTGAGGGTTCTTTTGGATATGATTTAAAAATATAAATGTTTTCAAACATAAAAAATAGGGATGATGGTATAGTGAACTATCATGTGTCCATCACTGGCTTCAGCAGTTACCACATCATGTCTAATCTTTTATCTCTACCTCAGCCTCCTTTCTCTACCTCTGGATTACTTTAAGGGACATCCCAGATTTTTAATCATTTCAACTCTTAATATTACATTAAATCTGGATAGCATTTTACCAAGTTGATCCCAAAATGGTTTACCAACTTATAATTCCACTAGCAGTTACTGATGCAGTGGTTTATCTGTAATCCCATAAAGATTGCTTGTTGTGCTCTGAAAGTTTTGATAGCTTCAGTAGGTCTGAAGTGGAATCATCGAGTTGCTTTAGTTTATATCCCCTTTTATGAATCGTTTTCCTTTTGCACATTTTTCTGTTGGGATCCCATGGGGTGGTGAGTTTTAAGCCTTAGCCTTGCCACATGAGAGCCAGCCTCTTTCTCAGCTTCCAGCCCACAGAATAGGGCAGTTGCGGCTGTTTTCTTACTGTACAGAGAGCACAGATATTACGGATGTGGTTGTTTAGGGCACTTCCGGAAATGAGTCCATCCTTGCCCTTAGCTCTCGTCAGTAGAGTAGAAGTAGCACTCTCACAGGCAGTACTCGGAATGCTTGCCGCATAAGGGGCTGGATCAGTGGGCATTATGCAGCCTGCCTCAGGGTGGTGACCAGGCAGCCCCCAGACCTGCTTGCTGTGGAAGGGTCAGGTGGGTTTGTGGTTGATACACAGCAGCTTGTGCTGACAGCCAGATGGGTGCTTTGCCACCTCCATGCCATCCTGTCTGCCAGGGTCTCAGAGCCTAGAGCTAGTCCCCAAGAACCCTCCTAGTCACAGAGCTGGTTAAGGCTTTCTGTTGAGTGATTGGGACCAGTGGTTGGTCAGCCAATTGAGAAAGTACAGAGTACTGTAGACGTTCTGTAAACATTGTGCTGTGATTTCACCCACTAGTGGGTGCTCGTTCGGCTCTCTCGTCATGTGGGGTTAAGGCGTTTGCTTTGAGTTGGCTCCTTTGGTTGGAGTCTTCTATTTCTGTCTTGTAGAGACCATCCTCATGACACGTCATTGCACTGCAGTTTCCAGGGGTAAGTCCAAGAGCAGACTTCTAGATTTTGAGACTCTAGTGCTCCCATCCTCCCATCTTTTATAGTTTTCTCAATTCCCTGATTTGATGGTAGTTTGTAAAAGTACCTTCCTTTATTTAGTTTTCCTGTAGTATCTTAGTTGCCATAGAAACTGTGTCTGCCTTTTTCTCACTCACATTTTGACCATTTATGTAGTATTAGTTAAATTAGGCAATTAAAATAGTGTGACCTGGAAGCATCCACAGCTGACTCTGGCAAGGACTGAGTTCAGTGCAGGAGCAGAGCTCAGCAGGAGCCATAGGAGAGTGGCCTGGTCCTGCAGCCAGCGGACCTCAGCATGACCTGCAGGGGCAGGAGAATGCAGATTTTCCAGGAGAGCTTTTCATTAGGTCAGCTCACAGGTTCCATCGTGTTACATTTGGCTAGTTGAAGTTAACATTACGGAACGTTTTAAAATGTCAGGGCTGTGAAAGTAAATGCCATAATTCCCTAGTTTTGAAATTTAAACATTGCAAAAATAATCACTTGCTTCCAATACTGTTACCTGTACGAGATCAGCCCTTAGATTTATGATGGGTTCATTGTACTACTCTGTGCCTTTTGCTTTTTGTCATTCATCATCCTCTGTTGTATTTGAGGCATTAGTGGGTATAAATGCATACTGTAGCCAGAGTGCCTGGGTTTGTGTGCCCTTACTGTCCTTAACCATTGTGTGCCTCGGTTTGCCCATCTGCAGAATAGGGATAAGAGCGCACTCAGTTGAGTAAGAGCATTTCAGTGTATGTAGTGCTGCAAGTGGTTAGAAATGTTCACCTTTGTTATCACTGAGGGTTTCACTTCTGCTCTTCATCCACATGTGCACATCACTAGCGAGTAGTTTGTTTTTTTTCTTTTCTTTTTCTTTTTTTTGGGGGGCAGGGACAGAGTCTCACTCTGTTGCCCAGACCCTGGATTGCAGTGGCAGGATCTCAGCTCACTGCAGCCCCTGCCTCCCAGGTTCAAGCAATTCTCATGCCTCAGCGTGGGATTACAGGCATGCGCCACTACCCCTGGCTAATTTTTTTTTTTTTTTTTTTTTTTTTGGTAAATTTTGAAGAGACAGGGTTTCACTATGTTGGCCAGGCTGGTCTAAAACTTCTGGCTTCAAGTGATCCACCCGCCTCAGCCTCCCAAAGTGCTGGTATTACAGGTGCCAGCCATCAAGCCTGGCCAGCCAGCCTTTGAACCATTAAAGGAATAGAGGATCAAGGAGGAAAGTTAACCCTATTAATACCTGAGCAGTTTGAAAGCTACTTAGCTACTAGGCATTGTAGCTGTGAAGCATGGAAGAGAGCAAACAGTACATTTCCAGTTGTAAATTTTAGTCTTGCAAATTAAATATTAAATTTGTCTGTGGTTTGTTTTTTTGAAGTTTTCACCTCTTAACATAAATATTTTTTTCTCCATAAAGACATGTAGTAAAAAAGAGTAGGCTGGGCCGGGCGCGGTGGCTCACGCGTGTACTCTCAGCACTTTGGGAGGCCGAGGCAGGCAGATCACGAGGTCAGGAGATTGAGACCATCCTGGCTAACACGGTGAAACCCCGTCTCTACTGAAAATACAAAACATTAGCCAGGCGTGGTGGCGGGTGCCTGTAGTCCTAGGTACTCGGGAGGCTGAGGCAGGAGAATGGTGTGCACCAGGGAGGCGGAGCTTGCAGTGGCCGGAGATCGAGCCACTGCACTCCAGCCTGGGCGACAGAGTGAGAGTCTGTCTCAAAAAACAAAAAAAAAAAAAAAAAAAAAAGAAGAGGAAGAGTAGACCGGGTGCTGTGGCTCACGCCTGTAATCTCAGCACTTGGGGAGGCCGAGGTGGGTGGATCACTTGAGATCAGGAGTTTGAGACCATTCTGGCCAACATGGTGAAACCCTGTCTCTACTAAAAATACAAAAATTAGCCAGGCATGGTGGCAGGCGCCTGTAGTCCCAGTTACTCAGGAAGCTGAGGTGGGAGAACAACTTGAACCGGGGAAGTGGAGGTTGCAGTTAGCTGAGATCACGCCACTGTACTCCAGCCTGGGCACAGAGCAAGACTCCATCTCAAAAAAAAAAAAAAAAAAAAAAAGCAAGTTATATGTGCGGATTTAAGGTTTAATTTAAAAATTGGTTTGCATGCATACTAAGAAGCTAATTTGCTTTAAGTGAGCATTTCCTTTTTGGGCTTTTGTTGGGCACTGTGTCTCTCCCATGTTCCCCGTTTGTCTGCCACCCAGTAAGCATCGTGTGGAGGGCTGAAGTAGAAATCAAAGGCAGGAGTCTGAAAGCTTCTTTAGGGTTCTGCTCTTTGCAGATTAGGGACCTTGGCCCTTAGTGAGCTGAGGATCTTGGTTTCCTCCCAGTGTGGTTTCAGGGATGTGGGCCACACGATGTGCCTGCTGTGGAGGAGGGCTGGGGCGCCAGTGTGACAGGAGACAGCAGATCCCTCTTGTGAAAGGAGAACTGGCACTTCGCGTGATGTTAAACTTCACAAACTGCTGCTTAGAGATCTGCTACTTTCCTTCTTTTTTAGGACTTTATGGACAGCAGCCTGCTAACCAAGTCATCATTCGAGAGCGGTATCGAGACAACGACAGTGACCTGGCACTGGGCATGCTGGCAGGAGCAGCCACGGGCATGGCCTTAGGGTCTCTATTTTGGGTCTTCTAGGGGCCTCAAGGTCTTGATGTGCATAGCTTCTGATAACCCTGTGTGCAATAATATGATTTGCAGGGCATTTCTGCTTGTGACAAATGTTTTTAATAATAGTTTTAATGGTTCCTTTGAAAGTAGTGATGTCATAATTGTAACTAATCCACATAAGTACCACAGAGAAAGGTTTGAACTGTGCTGTTGTGTTCAAACGCTGGCTTTCCAGGGGCACTGGCTCATTCCGAGACTGTCCTTGTGCACCTGTCGGAACACCTTATTTGAGCACACCTGTTCTGAAAGGCATTTTCTTTTTAGAGTTAGCTGTAGTGCTTAAGGGTTAATTTATTTCCATGTTATGCCGGGAATACAGTGGTGTATGCCTGATGAGTGATTGTGGCAAGAAAAGCCATAGCTTTCCATTTAACTTTTTCAAACCACAGACCAGAACTGGTTGCTTGTTACTTTAGGAGTTGTGGGTTGGTAAGCTCCCAGGTACTTCCCGGGGCCATGGTGTGAGAGCCCTGTCCTGCCCTCTGGGGCTCCACGGGCCCCCGGCAAGGCCTACGGCTCAGGATGACGGGGCACAGCCCGCCTTTGAAAAATGATGCTTCAGAAGTCTGCCTGACTCTGGCTGCTGCTTCTCACCTTATTCTGGTATGGTTTTGGTAGCCATACTTGGAGAACGTTTCCCGCATTGGGAATTGATTTGAGCCTGCAAGTTTGAGGGCTTTATCCTTTAAAACTTGGAGAAGCCAGAACAATAACAAGTGTGTGGAGGCAGATTTGCTTTATTCCAAGAGAGCTGTTTGAGTGTGTGTCTGCCTAAGCCTCCCGATAGCCTAGTTTTCTACTTGCTGAGGGAGTAATGTTAAAGGAACAGCGAGGGAGCGGAAGGAGAGCCTTAGTTAGGGCGTTCCCATTTCAGGCCTTCACGGGGTTGCGCTGTGCGGGAGATGCTCTCATCTCTCTGAAGGCCCATCCTTTGCAGAAGTGGGGCCTGTGGCTGTTCACGGAGCACCAAGGCAGACCGTAGCTGAGCAGACTTGGGTTATGGGTGGGAAATGGGGCCCAGGGACCCTCAGGACACAGGGACCGGCTCAAGGTACCACTCAGCCCGGCCAGGATCCCCAGCCTTGCTTTTGTTCTTGGTCTCTTTGTGATAGAGAAGCTTAGAACATTGAATTTTGAGCCCCAAAATGTGTGAGTCTTTGGAAAAACCATTCCAGCCTTTCTGTCAAATGCTCTTATTTTCAATATTATGAAGTATGTATTTGAAATATTCACATTTCTGTTATTTCTTGTTTTTAAGCTCTGAATTATTCCAGTTTTCTGTCCTGCATGCTTTCAACAGTGTGCTTTTACAGAGGCAGTTTAGCACAGTGAATGTCCCTGCCCCACACTCCATATGGTCCTGTTGTCCTGAAAATACACTCCAGGTAGCACAGACTTGTTATTTTGCCTGGCTGGTTACACACATGCTGTCTTGCTTTGCTGCTCAGCCGCCTCCCTCTGAGGCCAACTTAGGCCAACCTACCTGGGACTCCATCTGAAGTCAGACGCCAGAGAAACTGAGTGGTGACCACGGGTCTGCTTTTCTCTCTGATCCTAGGGGACTTGTTGACATGGGAGTATCTGTTCCCACATGGAAGGATGTGTGTTTCTCTCTCATCTCTGAATAGATGTAATGTATGACAAGTCTAGTGTCCATGGTTTAAAATGTTGCTTTGAGGATTCTCCATCCTGTATAAGAAGAATGACTTTCTTCAGATTATAATCGTTATTAAAGTTGTATGTACCCTTTACTTAAAAACTATTAACAGTTTTTCATGTTGCACTGGTAATTTTGAACTTGGAATTGCTGGGTGAGAATTCCAGGAACCACAGAGTATTGATTTTTGCTGCCAAAATGCTATTGAGGCAGATGTTCCTGTGCTCCCTTGGCTGCTTCTGGCTGAAGGGGAGAGGTGTGGACTGAAGCTTGGGTACTCATGTGTGTCCCCTCCCCAGTCCCCATCCCAGTGGGGCCAGCCTCGTTAGGCAGCCATAGATGAGCCTGGAACTTGACTGTCACTAGTGACTTGATCCTGGTGTGAAATGCATACTGGGGATAAGGTCGCTCAGGTGTTTTATTTCTTGGCCACAACTCCCATAGATGCCAATGTTTTGATAGCCTCGGTTTCTCAACGATGTCCTTTGTTTACAGTGCTACACTTCATACAAGTCAAGAAGTACTTGAGTTAGAAGAAACTTCTTATTCAGGTTTGAGTAAGCATTTTACTTCCATGTGTCCTTTTAAATAATCCATACCTTGAAGAAGTTGGCCAGTGACATTATATACATGCTGATCCGGTTGTTCTTTTCATTCCTTGAGTCAGCTTCAGGGTCTTGGATATTAAAGAGGAGAGGGAGAACTGTTAATGTTTCGGATCATCGTTTGTGAACAAGGCCAGACTTTGCCCATTTTAGGTTATCCAGGACTCAAGGTAGCCATCTGGATCATAAGAAGGTCCTGCAGTTGAGACAAAATGACCCAAGTGTATTTTCCACAAGTTTTGATCCTGTGTAATATTTCTTTTTCCTTCCCTAGTGTGTGTAGATAAAGGCATGGAATGCAGTTCCACTTTCTCCCCAGAGTTGATCTTTTTGTGATTGCTTTCCCGTCTCTAGTATTCTGTTGCGTCTAGAGAACTGATTTTTTCCTACATATGCAGATTGTACATTTGTAAGTGAAAATGTCAGTACATTAAAGCATTAACCTTAAAGCATGTTTCATTGTGACTTCTGTGTCTTTAAAAAATTACTTTGTAGTAACATACTCTTCAGCTTTTTCTGCTGTCATGGATCATAAGAATGCCATTTATTGAGAACCTACCAAATGCTAGACTATATCGTCACATCAGAGACAACTCACTGCATTCTTAGTGACTCTGTAAGGGAGGTATTCTCCAAGTTCCACTGGAGGGACCAAGGTCCAGAAGTTAAATAATTTACTCAGGAGCGTGCAGGTAGTAGGTCTCCACATCGGAGGTTAAAACGCCTTCTTGTTCCCTGTGCCATGTGCATATATGATTTCCACAAACAGGAGTGGCCTGTGTAGTCACACTCTTGGGATGACTGTGAGAAAACGGATACTGTTTTTCCCACCCAGATGCCCCCGGCAGTGTGTGTCCAATAACTTCTCCAGCATCTTTGGATATATGACTTTGTTTTTCGTTATTTTTATTTTTTAACTTTTATTATTTTTTTCGAGTCGGAGTCTCGCTCTGTCGCCCAGGCTGGAGTGCAGTGGTGTAATCTCGGCTCACTGCAAGCTCCGCCTCCCGGGTTCCCGCCATTCTCCTGCCTCAGCCTCCCGAGTAGCTGGGACTACAGGCGCTCACCACCGCTCCCAGCTGATATTTTGTATTTTTAGTAGAAACGAGGTTTCACTGTGTTAGCCAGGATGGTCTCGATCTCCTGACCTCGAGATCCGCCCACCTCGGCCTCCCACAGTGCTGGGATTACAGGCGTGAGCCACCACGCTGGCCAGTTATTTTTGTTTTAAAAAATCATTTTAGTTCCTGAATTGCCTCCCTCTCCTCTGGGCTAGCTTTTCTGGCTGCCTCCCATGTTGCAGACCCTGGCTGTGTGGTGATCGTGTTTGCGGTTACAGTTAAGCTGGGGGAGCCACACCCTGGAAACTCTGTCTGTTGCTTTTGTTTGTTTAGAGAAGAATCCTCTGATGTTTTGCCTGGAGACCATGTTCCTGGAGGAGTTGGGCTGAGGTGGTGTCATCCACACCCAGACTTCCTGGCCTATTCCATCTTCTCTTGGGCTGGCCTTCCTGCGTCCTCTGGCCCCTAGGGGTTTGGTTTTGTTTTGTTTTGTTTTTTTGAGAGGAGTCTCACTCTGTTGCCAGGCTGGAGTGCAATGGCACGATCTCAGCTCACTGCAACCTCTGACTCCAGGGTTCAAGCGATTCTCCTGCCTCAGTTTCCTGAGTAGCTGGGATTACAGGCGCACGTCGTCATGCCCAGCTAATTTTTGTATTGTTAGTAGAGACAGGGTTTCACCATGTTGCCCAGGATGGTCTCAGTCCCTTGACCTCGTGATCTGCCTGCCTGGGCCTCCCAAAATGCTGTGAGCCACCGCGCCCGGCCCCCAGGGTTTGTTTTTTAACTTACTTTCATGAATAGATTATACAAAGCTCAAAAATTAACAACAAAAAGATACATTCAGTAGAAGGTCTTTCATCTGCCCAGTACCACTGATAGTGGTTTATCCTTAGTGGGTTTCTTTATGCGTTGTAAGCTAGTACAAGATGAGTTTTCTTTCTTTTTTACACAAAAGTAGTATATGATATACAACAGTGGTGCTTGAATCAATCTCAGTATGATTTTACACTACTAAGTTTTTGAGCCCCCAAAGAGCTTTTAAAATGTGATTTATATCAGCTGGGCGCGGTGGCTCACACCTGTAATCCCAGCACTTTGGGAGGCCAAGGCGGGCAGATCACGAGGTCAGGAGATTGAGACCATCCTGGCTAACATGGTGAAACCCCATCTCTACTAAAAATACAAAAATTAGCCAGGCATAGTGGTGGTGCCTGTAGTCCCAGCTACTCGGGAGGCTGAGGCAGGAGAATGGCGTGAACCTGGGAGGCGGAACTTGCAATGAGCCGAATTGGCGCCACTTGCACTCCAGCCTGGGCGACAGAGCGAGACTCCGTCTCAAAAAAAAAAAAAAAAGTGATTGTATCAATATTATATTAGAAAATAAATTGAGATTTACAAATGATAAAACCCATTGTATAGTGATATTTATTTAATTTAATTTTGTTGTGTGTGTGTGTGAGAAAGAGTCTCTATCTGTCATCCAGGGTGAAGTTGCGTGGTGCAATCTTGGCTTAACTGTATCCTCTTGCCCTCCCAGGTTCAAGCAATTCTCCTGCCTCAGCCCTCCTGAGTAGCTGGGATTACAAGCACCCGCCACCACGCCTGGCTAATTTTGTATATTTTTTAGTAGAGACAGGGATTCATCATGTTGACCCAGGCTGGTCCTCAAACTTCTGACCTCAGGTGATCTGCCCGCCTTGGTCTCCCAAAGTGCTGGGATTATAAGCGTGAGCCACCCAGAGTGACTTTTTTTTTTGAGGCAGTTTTCACTCTTGTTGCCCAGGGCTGGAGTGCAATGGGTGTGATCTGGGCTCACTGGCAACCTTCGCCTCCCAGGCTCAAAGCGATTCTCCTGCCTGAGCCTCCCGAGTAGCTGGGATTACAGGCGCCCACCCCCCGTGCCCAGCTAATTTTTTTTTGTATGTTTAGTAGAGATGGCATTCATCATGTTGGCCAGGCTGGTTCGAACTCCTGACCTCAGGTGATCTGCCCGCCTCGGCCTCCCAAATCGCTGGGATCACAGGCGTGAGCCACTGTGCCCGGCCCTATAGTGACATTTTAAAAGAACGTAGAAAACTTACGTCTCAAACAGAATCAGTGAGCATGAACATTGTTTTACATCAACAATTTTCTTTAGTGCCATGCTTAGAAGACGAGCTGGATTTTCATCTTTGCATTCGAACTGTCGTGACGCTTTTTGGGTTGGGACAGATGAAGGATGTACATCCTTATAACTGTTGTGTAGTTGGGAAAGGGAGAACCTAGCGGACCCCGTAAAAGGATCCTGGCAGTCTCAGGGTCCTTGGGTCAGACCTTAAAAACTGCTCTGTATGTTGTTCTGTGGCCTTAATTGTTCACTTAACATACCTGCTATTTCCATATCAGCACTTAAAGAACCTGTTTATTCATTTTATTTGTCCCGTAGTTTATCCAATACCATTTTGACTTTTTTCTATAGCTAACAATGCTAGATGTACCAGTTACTCCTGGTTGGGGGCTCTTCAGTGTGGTGTGGGACTAGTCGGTGACTGAAGGTTCCTGCAGTGCAGCTTACAGCTCACCTCCAGGATCACCAGGACCTAGAAGCGGAAGTCAGCGCTGTACACACGAGGTTAACACGAGGTCAGCTGCTGTAGTAAGCCACCCCAAATCAGCGGCTGAATGCAGAAAAAGCTCTATTTCTTGTCTCGTCTTTTTCTTTTTTGAGACAGCGTTTCTCTCTTGTTGCCCGGGCTGGAGGCAACATGGGATCTCGGCTTACCGCAGCCTCCACCTCACAGGTTCAAGTGATTCTCCTGCCTCAGCCTCCTGAGTAGCTGGGATTACAGGCATGCGCCACCACACCCAGCTAACTTTGTATTTTAAGTTGAGACAGGGTTTCACCATGTTGGTCAGGCTGGTCTTAAACTCCCAACCTCAGGTGATCCGCCCGCCTCGGCCTCCCAAAGTGCTGGGGTTACAGGCTTGACCCACCACACCCGACCGAAAAGCTCTATTTCTTGTTCAAGTCGCAGTCCATTGTGGGTTCAAAAGGGGTGAGAGGCCTCTGCTCCAGGCTGTTGTTCAGGGACCAAAGCTGCTTTTCTCTCTTGCCTTGGACTCTGCTGTGGAACTTATACAACCTGCTGGAAGAAAAGACAGTGAAGCGGGCGCAGTGGTCACACCTGTAATCCCAGAACTTTGGGAGGCTGAGGCGGGTAGACCATGAGGTCAGGAGATCGAGACCATCCTGGCTAACACAGTGAAACCCCATCTCTACTGAAAATGCAAAAAATTAGCTGGGTGTGGTGACAGACACCTGTAGTCCAGCTACTCGGGAGGCTGAGGCAGGGAGAATGGCATGAACCCGGGAGGGAGAGCTGCAGTGAGCCGAGATAGCACCACTGCACTCCAGCCTGGGCAACAGAGCGAGACTCTGTCTCAAAAAAAAAAAAAAAAAAGAGGAAGACAGTGAAGACACACCATCCTCAGCTCTGGAGTGGCGCTCCCCTTCCAGTGGTGAGAGCTAATCAGTGGCCTGGGCTCAGTGCTTGAAGTCTGGGAGGTGTTGTCTGAGCTCAGGAAGAAATGGCCCTTGCCTCAGCTGCTGATAAACGCAACAGGCCATAGTTAATGACAGATCATGATTGTCAAGTGTCGTCAATTCTCGGTGGAGTCTGGGTTTATACTAACTTTCCTTTGCAGATTTTTACTGATTCATAAGCCAGTGGTTGCATATTACAAGCAGATCGTTAGTTCACACAACACAAATGTCATTTGGTCACGGCTATTTTGTTGCTGTTCGATCGTTTCTTCCCTACTTATCAACTGGTGGATGGACCTAGAGAAGATAGTCACCCTTTCCAGCAAGGAATATAGTTCCTTCATCCGTTTGTCCTTTATTAAATTAAAGTCATGCTGAGGACGACGCGTTATTGCCCCTGGTTGTCCTGCTGCCCCTTCCTGTGAGCAGCCTGTAAGTTCCTGCCCGATGCCGAGTGCTTGTCCGTGTCATCTTGCCCACCAGAGGAACAGAGTCCAAGCCTCACGGGTGGTGCGCTGTGCCTGGGGGAAGGGGGCGTGAGTGTGTCATTTTGAGCAGGTGCTTTAGGAAGCAGAGGGGCTTCTGCAGCCTTCTCATCCTTTTCCCCACTGCAGGAGCTGCTCCCTCCCCTGTGGTCCCAGATAGGACTCATGGGGCAGAGCCTTCACAGCTGCCCTCAGGGGCTCCGTGTCACGAAGGCAGGGAGCATTGTTTGCCGTACAGCAAAGCTGACCAGGATGAGCTGCCACCGGGTGCTGTGCCAGGTGAGGGGGCACAGCAGTCAGCGAGACCATACTTGGAGAGGGGCAGTGGAGCACTGCCCAGTCCTCACCAGAGTGACGGGTCCGGATAACACCCATTATGTGGGGT